AGTTTTCACTGCATTGCGGATACCTAGTAAGACGAGTGGAAGAGCGTCGGTTCACTGTGAAACGTTTGCAGCTGATAGTGAAGCTTTTAGTTGTCGGTGAAAAAGTTCTACCAACCCGTTTGCTTGTGGGTGATAGGCGGTCGTTTGGAACGAGTGCTTCCTAATAGTGTGGTCAGACGACGGAAAAGTTCAGACTCAAACTGACGTCCGCGGTCTGTAGTGATGGTTGAAGGGCAACCGAAGTTTGCTACCCATCGTTCGACGAAGGTTCGGGCCACTGTTTCAGCAGTGATGTCCTTGATATGTACTGCTTCTGGTCATCGAGTGAAACGATCTACACAGGTTAAGAGGTAGGAGTATCCATTTGAATCTAGTAAAGGTCCTACCAAATCCAGATGAACATGGTCGAAACGAGCATCGGGAGTTTTAAATGAGCCTAAGGGACATTTATTGTGTCTGATGACCTTAGATTTTTGGCAGCTTACACAGGAGCGTGCCCACTCCCTCACGTCTTTATTCATACCAGGCCAGTAAAACCGTTCTTCTATGAGCTTGATGGTTGCACGAACACCTGGATGAGAAAGTTTGTGCAATGTGTTGAAGACATTGCGTCCATAATGTTTCGGGACGATTGTGCGATCCCTTCCTGTAGATGTGTCACAAAGTAAGGTTTCCTTACCTGTTCCCATCTGTTTATTGCGTAGTTTAAGGGTTGTGGACGATAACTCTTGCTGAAGACCACTGTCTTCTTTTTGAAGCTGGGCGAGTTTAAGAAGGTCGATTCCTTGGAAACTGTTCAAGGAATTTGTTCGAGACAAGGCGTCTGCAACTACATTGTTTGCTCCAGAAATATGTTGAATATCTGAAGTAAACTGCGAAATGTAGTCAAGTCGTCGAGACTCACGGGGAGAGTTCTTGTCAGAAGGAGAGCTTAACGAGAAAGTGAGCGGTTTATGGTCAGTGAATAGAGTGAAGTCACGGCCTTCGATATAGTGTTGAAAATGCCGTACAGCACAATAAATAGCTAGGAGTTCCCTACCGAAAGTGCTGTATCTCGATTCGGTGTCTAGCAACCGTCTAGAGAAAAATGCCAAGGGTTGCCAGGAGTTGATAACCCATTGTTGTAAAACTCCTCCAATTGCCGAGTTGGATGCGTCTACTGCGATACTAATGGGTGCTTCAATGTCCTGATGTGCGAGCATTGTTGCTTTAGCGATCAGTTCCTTAACTGTGGAGAATGCTTTTCGTGCGGTGTCGTCCAAATTAATGGATTTTGCATTTCCACGAAGTTGGTCAGTAAGAGGTTTCATAAGTAATGCGCATTTCTGTATGAAGCGTCTATAGAAACTTACCAGGCCGTTAAACGTGCGTAATTGCTTGACGTTGGTCGGTTTTGGGTAATCCAGAATGGCCGCCACTTTAGTCCTAAGGGGTCGAATGCCTTGAGCATCGAACGTGTGTCCTAGGAAGTCTAACGAGTCGGTCCGATTCTGCATTTCTGAACGTCTGCAGTAATGACATGTTTTTGTAATCATTCGAAAACAAGATCCAGATGCTTGAGATGTGATTCTCTGTCCGGACTTGTGATTAGGCAGTCATCAACTTTGTCTATGAATATTTGAAATGTTTGAGCAGCGTTTCTTAAACCGAACGGCATTCGCAAAAATTCATAGAGTCCGAAAGGAGTTATGATAGCTGTTTTTGGTATGTCGTTTGTAGCCATAGGGATTTGGTTATACGCTTTAACCAAGTCGATTTTCGAAAAGACAGTTGCACCTTTCAAGGTAGCTGTCAAATCGTGAATGTGAGGCAACGGGTAACGATCGGGAATGGTTTTTGCATTCAATCTCCGATAGTCACCAGATGGATGTCAAACGTTGCTGTCCTTTTTAGGGACCATGTGCAACGGAGATGCATATGGGCTATTTGATGGTCGTATGATTCCTAAGTCTATCATGTGATCGAATTCGTTTTTCGCCAACCTTAGCTTTTCAGGAGCTAGTCGTCGTGCTTTAGAGAATTCAGGTTTCTGGTTACACACGGTAGTTTCGGTTGAGTTTGTTGTATCCCAGAGTACTTATCGAGTAGTGTCTGATAGAGTGGGTCTATCATATGCTTAACTGTGACTGAGGATAATCTGCAACCAGCAAAAGAAGTTACGCAAACGGATAAATTAGTGTTTCCGTCTACTAGCCTCCGTTTGCGTGTATCGATAATTAGATTATGGTGTTGTAGAAGATCCATACCAATGATTGGCATAGAAACATCTACAACAACGAAAATTCAGTGAATGGGTTTACGTAAACCCTCGTTAAGATAAACGTACCTTTTGCCATACGTAGCGATCGGTTTTCCGTTTACCGCCTGTAAGTTTAAAGCCGATTCATGAAGCCGGTCGTTATGTTTTGCTGGGAACACGCTAACTTCTGCGCCAGTGTCGACGAGGTAGCGAACTCTCGTTGTCACATCTGTGACGTACAACAGACGTCTATGTTCGCCGGCTACGGTTGCCGTTAACGCGTGCCGGCTTGGAAGTTTCCTGAGTTGATTTCGAGTCAGTCGTTTTCGTGTTGTGAAAATTGCAGGGCTTTCTGCAATTTCTGGAAGCCTTTCCATACTGGTTATGATACCAGCAACAGTCGGGGTTACTCGTCTTTCGTGGTCTAGAGACAGATCGTCTCCGTGAAATGCTTCTACGTGGTCTGTGTGAGCGATTACGGTCGTTACGAAGATTGAGATAACGCGTGAGTGTATGACATAACTCGTTTATGTCATTCTGAGTCGTGTGAGGCTTTTCTTTGACTGTAAATACCTCTGTAGTAGACGATTTCGTTATTTCTAAAATACGATCGGCAGATGCAGCCGGCTCGTCTAAGGCGTTGTTCTGAAACGAGACCAGAACCGCTTGCACCTGTTGAGGAAGTTAAGACAAGAAAAGTTGTTTAAATAGGCCTTCGTCGAAAGTTCTTAGGCCTATAGCCTCTCTTATCCCTTGTAACATGTCCGTCGCAGAACCGTGTTGCAAGTCGATGTTATTGAAGAGTTGATCTAACCTTTGTCGATCGGTTAGATCTCCTCGTTTAACAATCGAACGTTTAAGGATTTCGTAAGGTTCGGAAACATCAATAGTAAACATATTAGTGTAACGTACCTGTTGAATTCGCGCGGTAGTGCCTTACCTACTGCGAGGAATTGTGCACGTGTGTTGATCACGCCGTGCTCGGAGAAGTCAGCTTCTGCGTAGCAGAACCAGGCTTCGATATTGTCGGGCCAGAAAGGCATCAGTTGAAACGAAGGCGGGGACAAAGGCTTAAGCTTGAGTACTTTGGGTGTCTGTTCAGTCATGTTGAAATATGAAAAAATATATATATATCCAAGAAAAAACACGAAAAAAAATCATAATGTTTAAAAAAATAAGGCAATGATATATAAAAATCCCAAAAGAATCAGACTCACATTTGCAATTAGGTGTACCAGATCACGTTGGGTTCATCAATGAGGATGATACAGGTATTCAGTGTTTGACAACGCCTCTACCAGTAACACTTTCTAATGTACTTTGTTCCCACCGAGAGAAATCAAAAGACAGAGTCGAGGAGATCGGAAGAGTGTATTTGGCGATTACCAATATATCGGAATTCTCTGATCTAATCTGGCTAGCGATTGCGGAAGATGTTGAGCACAGCGTTACCACACGGGATCTGGTGCGGATGCATGACCGAGCGCCTTCAGCTAGATGAGTCCACTAAAACATACGGTCAGCATCCAATGTCGAAAACTTACAGAGCTATTTATTTTCGGGATTTATTTACCGCTACAACATGAAATTCAAAACAACTGTCAGTCAACATCGAAGTCAGAATCTTCAATACGAACGTCAAGACAGTTCGACTGTACAGAGCTGAAACTTGGAGAACTACTCAAACTATCACCAAAAATGTACGAGCATCTCTAAACAATTGTCTACGCAAGATACTGAATATCCGTTGACTGGAAACCACCAACCACAGCCTACTGCTGGAGTGAACAAACCGGCTTTCAATTGAAGATGATATTGGCAAAAGACTTTGGGCGTGGATAGGACATGCCTCGTGAAAATCATCTGACTGCGTCACGAGGCAAGCGCTTACTTGGAATCCTAAAGGGGAAGGGGAGAGAGGGAGATCAACGAGCATACTGTACCTAGAATTGGATGCAGACATCGAAAGAGTGAACAGCATCTGTAAACAACTCAAAAGTATTGTGAGGGACAGTGTTGGATGGAGAGTGCTGGTGAGCGACCTATGCTTCTCCATGAGTTGTAAAAGATATAAGTAAGTATACAAGCTATTGTCTAGTATATTGGATATTGAATGGTCAAAGTTTACTATTTATATCGTTTTGAATTCCAAACCGGCTTTCGCGTCAGCTCGTTAGCCCAGTAGGTCCCGCTAGGTTTTGCAAATTGTATGGCTCTTTTGTCTCCATGTATTTATCGTTATGCTATTTTCGACTTTTAAAATCAGCAAACTCGGAAAACTTATTTGAATTCTATTCTGTAATTTCAAAGATAATATCTTTAGTGATTATACCAAATTTCGAGGTATAAAACTATCAGAATAGCTTCAAAAGAATGTTTACTAGGTTATTTTTTTCGTTTCGTGCTCTGTTGTGATGTTTCATGCACTTTGTACACACTGGATCGAAAGAATGCAGATTATAAACATTCGATCGACCTACATATCCAAAATTTTGCAAACTTCAAGCCGTATAATCTGAATTAATCAGGTTATAACAAAGTTGGCTTGCCTATTGTCACAATATTTTTTGAAACTACAAATGAATTGGGATAAACTAAATATATTTCTTTATGTCTATGAACGTGTCATCTTTATCTAAGTCTTCAGCATGCCATTATCCTATTGTTTTCATTATTTTTAATTCCCTTTTATTCATCACATTTACTGTGCTTAGCTATACTGTATATATCATCATGATTCAACTTATCCGCACTTTATTTTGTGGGGTTTTGTTTTCCTTGATGTGTTGTAAACTGACAGATTTCTGAAAACAGTTGTTTTCTTTGTAATCAGGGAGTGCCTGCCTGACGGTTCAAATACGTACATTTTAGTGGTTAATAAAAATAAATTTTCAGTCCTCATGGGTCCAGTGATCATTACGAAAATATTATTTTACATGAAATACAACGGTCATCATTTATATTGAATCCACTTAAGCTCGTTTACTCAAAGCTTTCTCATTCAGCCATCCTTCGAACCATTAGAGACTGTTTCTGCAGCTGTTAAGGGCTTTTTAGCCTGTTCGTTTTATGATCTTGGACATCAAGCGTACATCTCTGAAGACTATTTATTTAATAGACAAAACAATGATTTACGCTTTTGGCGTCCTTAAAGATCCCATACATAATTTTAGTATGGCAGTGAAACAAACTGATTATCTTCGACGTGTATCATGTACCACAACTCAAAGTACGCGAATTAATGAAAGCTAAGATTGTGTTCATCATTATGATTATATTACTGCCTAATCAGTTTATATAACATAGACTTCTGAATGTACTAAATGAACATTACCACTAAATTTATTACAAATAGCGATACCCAGTAGACACATGTATGTAAAATGACGGACGAGAATTAAATTCTCTATACCGTCATCGATTTTTCTTATAAAACGGCTGGCGGGAAATGTATTTGTGATTAAATCTACAATTATGGAGAAAAGATAGGTTTTTGGTGAAATTTATTATTTTTCGCAATTTAACATAAATTACATGTTTGTGGCAAAATTAAGCGATCAAATAGATCAAGCAAACGGTTATTTAGCTTTGAACTTCTGGAAACTAATTGACGTTTTTTAATAAGAATTCTGTGTTTTATTCAATTTTTTCCTCTTTCAGCATCATACAAAATTTGCTGCTCGTAAATGTAAGTTAACATAATAGATACATCTTATTTTGATCGTAGGCCTGAGTCAGTAATTGCTAACATTGAAAATGTCAAGAAAGTGGCAGATCATATACAAAAATTGATAAGTATCGTACCAGAAATTGGGATCATTTGTGGGAGTGGTCTGGGGAAGTTGGCTGATGGGGTTAAAGATAAAACCATAATTCCATACACAAAGATACCCAACTTCCCTCAAACGTCTGGTAAGTAGTTGCATACGTTCAGTTAACATTTTTAGTTGTTGGACACTCTGGAAACCTGATATTTGGAACTCTGAGCGGCCGAAAAGTAGTCGTCATGCAAGGACGGTTTCACATGTACGAGGGATATACCAATGACACGGTAATACATTTGTGATGGTCAGTTATCTCTTTGCCATAGATCGCTCTTCCCATACGCGTGATGAAGTTATTGGGAGTAAAAATTCTTATGGTTAGTAATGCTGCTGGTGGTCTGAACAGAAGTCTCAAACTTGGTGATTTTGTGATCTTAAAAGACCATATTTATCTTCCTGGACTGGGATTAAATAATGTTTTGGTCGGACCGAATCATGATGAGTATGTTACATTGTGTTTAATTTCATTTCTGTAGATTTGGTCCTCGATTCCCAGCACTTTCGGATGCCTATAACAGTGACCTGCGAAAACTGGCTATACAAGTAGCTGTAGAAAACGGTTTTGGGGATTTGGTTCACCAAGGTGTTTACGTGATGAATGGTGGTCCCTGTTACGAAACGCCTGCTGAGTGCACAATGCTTCTTAACATGGGTTGTGATGTAGTCGGTAATTAAACAACCATTTGTTTACTGAATTTAAATGACATTCAAACTGCATGCTTTTAAAATAGAATGTTGACGATGTTTTTCTTCAAGGTACAGGATGCACTTTCTACGCTAGCTTTAATCAGTTAAGCATTTAGTGTGTGATCAACGGATAACAGATCACATGGAAATGCTCCAACTCCATGCATACTTCAGAAACATATCTAGCAGTGTCTTTATTTTGGGGGCAGTTTCAGAACTGTATCATTTTGATTGTGACCATTAACTATGGTTTATTTTGTTCAAGATATTAAACCTCAGAAACCCATTCAGAATGAAACGTGTATGTTATGGGAACCACAAAATATCAGAACAATGATCGATTGGTATTTAGAATACTTGAGGCAGATATTTAGTCTAAATCAAAGTAGCTTGCATGAGTACAATGCCTACTCAATTTTTCTCAACGAACATCAGTTCAAACGCGAGAAACTGCTTGTCCATTGACTTTCGATGATGATTGCAAAAGACACCTTGTATATCATCAGTAAGATATTTTGATGTTCTGGAACAGTCCGGTATTCAACAACCGTTTTCATCCAGATAGTGCCTGTCTGCAGTCAATTATTGTTCGATTAACAGATCAAATAATGGAAAAACCTTAAGTCGTCAGATTAGATTTGTTGAATGTTTTTAAGTAACGTGGTCATCACACAGTTTTATGAGAATAAGCTGCAAGCGGCGTGTCTTCACTCTAGATTTCTGTATTGTTTAGAAAAAATACGGTAAATGCTCATGTGATATTTGAGAGCATGTTCTTGGTTGACTGTTGGCGAATATTATATGTATTTACTGTGGATCCAACCCAGACACGTTGTAGATGTTTAATTGATCATTGTTCGAATATTCGACAAGTAATTAAATAATCATGTAAAAAACGTCACTTAGTAATTAACTCACATCTTTGATCCGTGTTTTAGGTGGGATACATTCTCTTAATTCGAGGAGAATCAGTCAGACTCTCTCATTTTCGTCGATTTATCTACAGAAAATTATGTCTATGTGTTAACGCTTATCTTACCATGTATTACAGGTATGAGTACGATTCCGGAAGTTGTAATTGCTCGGCACTGTGGAATTCAAGTGTTCGCCGTTTCACTAGTTACAAATATAAGTGTGCTGGATGTTGAAAGCAGTGTGAAGGCGAACCATGAAGAAGTCTTGGCCACAGGTGCTCAACGTGCTGAATTGATGCAATCATGGTTTGAAAAGATCATCGAAAAACTGCCCAAAGATTGAGTTGGATGTTACGCTTAATATTTTGTGCAATGAATTATACTTTGTGAAGAATGTTTCTGTTTTTTTACCCTTACTGAAATGCATATTTTAGCTTATAAAGTGCTCTGCCTAGAAAACGACTTTGTTTTTTCTGTCTTTAGTAAATTTCATATGTTGGAACCGCATTGTTGACCCCATCGTGTTGATGCGGTAGTTATGCTGTTGAAATATTTATGCGGTTTAATTCGTATACATTCTGTCGACAAATCACGTTAACACATTGTAGATATCAAAAGGTGAATAAGAGTTTTATTTATGATACTCACTTTTTAAACATGTTGAAGTTGGACGGCAGACAAGGAATGAAAGATGTAGCGAATATATGGAGAATCAGCGTTTGGTAGTGCACTGACTCGACGAATAATGAAATGACTCAGCTTTCGTAGGCCACCTAAGAAATACAGAGAGTGGATAGACAAATAAATATTATCATGCCCATGAGCATTAAATATGATTAAAGCCACAGTTGAACAAGTGTCAACAGTATATTTATAAGTGACGGAATAACTAAACTGATTAGACCCATTTATCTGTCAAAAGTCTGAATAAATTACGTGACACTATAACAGTAGTTAATGCTGTTTAGATTTTCTTGTTTTGATTGTTAACATTTTGTCGACGATGAAATACAACTGGCATTTTCAGTTGACCATTGCTGTATTGAGACTAATGCAATTAAAATCGAAGCACTCAACTTTGTTTTATGTGCAATCCTATGACGATAAAGCATTGGGTGTTAAAGCTTAAAGGAAAATCAGAGTCGCTAGAATTACTTGAATAATTTATCATCTTCAATAATCTCTCACTAACAGTAGTTATAGATAATTATCGCTCTGATAGACTCATGTATTAATAGAACTTACAGTTATGCACTGAAGACAGAATATCATTACCAAACTACGACATGATTGTGCTATCACATACTGTCTGCTGCTCTAAGTGCAAGCTTATCCATTAAGTATCTCAAAATACTTCTAAAATTTTAAAAATCCTCATAACTGTCAATTCAGGCATATTGACGGTGAAACTGTTGTTACCGATGACATGAAATGACCATCACATCATGTTGCGAATTGATTGAAAATGGATAGTATCGTTAAACACTTCTAGTAGTTCTAATGGTCAGGGGTTTGATGGAAAGTGCTGAAGAATTTATCTTTGATTCTACTATGATTCGTAGGAGGTTGCTGTTAATAAACACCATTATTGACGAAACAGTCGTTCATTGCTCTATTGCTTTTCACTAGCAACTCAAGTGAGATCAATCCGTGACGTGTTCAATCCACGAAAGTTGATTATTAATGAGAAATATTGTACATTACACTCCTTATCTAAACTATTGTGAATAATAGTGATAGGCTATAATGATTATGTTTCTACGATGAATTGGAAGTGTCTCGTTTTGTCAACGAAGAATGTTGTATAACACTGTGCATTTCATAGATAATTAGGGCCATCTATCCTTTAAATTGTGAAATGTTGGAGACATTCACAAATTATATTTGAAAATTGTTCTTTTAAGTTAGTTAATATGCTAGAAATTTCTCTCATCATCCACGAAATTATTAAGTAGGTGATTGACCAAATCGAGTCCTCTGGATAACTGCGACAGACAACACACCAAATGGTGCATATCACTCGAGTTGTCAGTTTTTTTAATCATTCAATGAGTAGAAATTGTTCAGCTAAAATCAGTGTTGTAGTTATGTAAAAATTTTCGAACAGTTTAATCAGATATATATTTTACAATGCATGAGTTTACAAACAAATAGAATGAAAGAAATAAAAATAATATACTTGTAATATCCCAATGAGTAGAAAAATCAGATTTTGTGACGGTTAGTGATTCATTGTAAGCCTCGTCTTCGGGTAATAAAAGAATAGAAAGAAAGTGTTTCGTAGAAGAACTAAATTGCCGTGACATGACACCTAGCATACAAAATGGATTAGGCTTCATCAAGGTTAGTCTAAACTATTCTTATATCTATTGATGGGTCTACATTTTCTATTTTTTTCGCTGAAATAAACACTTGATATAACTGTTGACGGGTGTAATATTAGGATTCAGTTTTTTATGACCTAATTCAATAACATATTTGTCTAAAGAAGAGCATATTTGTTTTTATATTATGTTTTCTTTTAGGACTGAAATTGTAAGTATTTTGCTATCATTCATTGATATGTTAGAGTGCACACAACTGAATATATATTTAATCATCCAAGTTTATATGCACTTTTACTTTTGCGATCTAGTAAACATGATAATGTTTGAAGAAAGAGTTAGATCTGTTTGTTTAATAACTGCAGGGTTTTATGCATGGTGTCTCTTTCCTGCGAGTAATTTTGGACTTCATTTCTGAAGTATACTGTATTATTATTATTATCCTGTTGATTGAAACTTCTTTGCATCAATAAATCTATAGACATATATGTAGGAAAATTAATGCACGAATTCGTTATATTCAACAGATAAACTCACTTTTCCTATTGGTATAGACGAATTTTCCTACTAATATGAGTGATAGTATGTTGCTTTATGACATTATATTATTATATTTTAGTCATCTGAATATTTCATTTTTCTCTACAAGATTATCTTATTTCAATGAGATGCTTCTCTATTCAATAATAAGATATGCCTTATGAAATAGAGCATTACTGATCAGGTTAATTTCGAATATCTTTGAATCATCAAAAATTATACTACCAAATTATTCAACTGATGAGTTGTTTTTCAAATCATGATTTCACGTACGTTTTTTCATTAATGTAGTAATTCTTTTATGATATGAAAATTACTTCAGTTCACTCAACTGTCATAACTAATCTGACAATATTTAATGTTAAACACTTGCTTATATGATGGTTAACCAAATATGCCACTAAGTTCACTACTCACTATTTTGGGATACTAGTTTTTCAGATACTTTGTCTGCTCTTATGTTAGTGGGTTCCATATATTTTTAAAAAAAGATTTTCTCATTAATCCCAATTAACTTTTTCATTCAAAAGGAAACTATTTTTATTTGAAATTGAAGCATAATACTACACCAGTATTTCGCTATACATTACAGCATTTAGGTGAACGCCTAAGAAAAAAAGGTCAAAGGTTAATTATTTTGCGATGTTAAATCACATGGTGGCCTTTAAAATGATGCGATCTCATCAAACAAAGTCGAAAATTCCGTGTATCAGAGGTTGACTTCAATATTTACGAAATAGCTAGCTTATCTTTGAGTGAATAATACTAAAAGTTAGTTATCAATAATGAAGGATAACTATATATATTGAAGTTCCAATGACGTTAATGTCTTAGAGATGATTACTGGGTTTACCGTCACAAACAAGGTTATTAAACAAGACAAATAGAACTAAACATTTCCAAAATATTGAGTTATGTACTCACAAACTATCATTAATTACTCGGATAATCCAGATCATTTAGTACTTAAATTTTAAATGTTTGGATTTACCTTAGATAAAAAGTTTTCAGAAGTGACAAACGACTACTCCGTCAGCCGTAATAAGTTGTTCATCATTCGAATTTTAAGTCAAAGTATTTCATGTGAAAAAACGACCAACTCAAGATTTTGCAAGGAAAATCAATTAAAGCTCAGATAAGAACACACGGACTCAATTACGATTTTATAGCTTTGAAGTCTGTTGGAAATGATGCTGAATTTATTATTCGTGATACGATTTGGTGTTCATAACCATTTTCATTCCAGTACTGCCTTGTTGTAACCGATTGCAATTTTATACATTATCTGATTAACCCAATAACATATTAAGCGAAATCAGTTGCGATATAATCACTCTACTGTTATACAGTCTCCGTTGAAATGCGTTTAATATTATATGTAAAGGATAGTGTTTACTTTCTCAATTTATTAAATTAGACCACTTGGTAGAATATGATAAATTTCCAATGTGAATAATAGTGTACAAGAATGTAATTATGGCTCTACATTAGGTACAACACGCGCAACTTGGATATGTGAAGAAAACTGATAAATGTTTAAATAATCAAATTTAATACCAATCGATTTAGTGTTTCTAATTGTTCATTCTATTTTCCTGTTTATCCACTATGCATTGTTACCAATACAACTATCATAACTTTGGTCACTATTAATACGACTTGTCATGGAAATAAAATCGATGTGTTTTCACCTTATTAGTCATATGGTAAAGTTATTCGCAGGGTTAATGAAATGATCGAGAATATTTATGGCTTAGGATAAGGATGTCGAAATTGTTGCGTTCTCTAGGCTAGATGATTAAGTTGTGAAACTTCCATTATACTTCATCACTAACCATCGTACTGAGAGGAAAAATCAACTCCAACATGTAGGGTCACATAACTCGGGACTCATCAGTAAGTTTCGAACTACTTTGTTATATAAACAGTGATTTGGTTTAGTTTTTTGCTTTTAACAAAACTGCATTAGTGCACTACAAAATTTATTGATAGATTTTTTTCATGCCCAAACGCAGTATAAGTGTCATGTTATAAATTATGAGTCACAAGGGTACTTTTCATAATCAAATAGGCTGTATTTAGGTAGAAATCCTTTGTCTTCTCAAAAGGAAAATAAAAGATTATGTATTTTCACTAGACTAGTGAAAACATCTTCAACCATTAATAGGAATAATCATACAAACCTAAATATAATTATTCGTAAGGTAGAATATGCACATACTCCAATAAATTGTGCATCATTAAATTGTGAATGATTTGGTTATTATATAATGGATCTAACGACATATGTAAGCTAAGGTGTGTGAATTATTTGCTTACGCCTGTTACACCTCGCGAAGGAGCTTAGGTCGCTCACCAGCACTCTCCATCCAACACTGTCCCTCACAGTCCTTTCGAGTTGTTTACAGATGCTGTTCATTCTTTCAATGTCTGCATCCAATTCTAGGTACAGTGTGCTCGTTGATCTCCCTCTCTCCCCTTCCCCTTCAGGATTCCAAGTTAGCGCTTGCCTCGTGACG